AATTCAAGCAGGTCAGCACCGACCGCGCACGTTCCTCTGTGAGGCGTGCTGTCTGTTCGACCGAATCCAACTCCATACCGAGAAAAGAGATCCACTGTGTAGGGGAGAGTTTTCTCTTTTCCAAGTTAACCGGAAGACCCAACTGGCTTGGGTGCCGAAGCACCAGATCCCTGTGCTCGCACAACTGAACCCGAGACTGTGCTAGTATAAGCCAATCGTCGAGATAGTTGAGGATGCGAACACCCTGCTCTCTGAGGGGAATAAGAGTCCCCTCCGCGACTTTCGTAAAGACACGGGGAGACAGGGACAGCCCGAAGGGCAGGACCTTGTACTGGCGGATGCACCCGAAGATGCGTTTCTGCGTCAACATCTTGAACGGTAATCGGTGCAGGGCCCGGTTCAAGACACACAGGTCCAACCAAGATTAGAACCCACCGCCTTTCTTGGGTACAATGAAGTAGGGGCTGTAAAACCCCGTACTCATATCGGCTGGAGGGCCGGCTGCTCTTTTGTCAAGAATTTGGGTACAGTCGACCGTGAGGCCAACGGCAGGGAAAAACAAAACAAAAGATTCTCCACCCGGCCCTCCTCCGTGGAAGTGAGTGATGCGTTCACCATCTCCCGAAGAGCAGATCCCTCCATCTCTGGGTCGCCCGGCAGGTTTGGCGGGGGCCTGGACGGGCTGGGCGGCCTGCCTACGTCCGGCTCCATGGCACTGCTTGGGTGAGGATGCTGCGCAGGAGCAGTGGCGGACGCAGGGGGCCGCCCTCGGCGACGAGCATACTGGGGCGCTGTGGCCGGCGGGCGGGTGGATGCAGCAGCTGCCCGCTGGGGCAGGATGCTGTCGAATCACCTCAGTCTGCTTCTGTGCAGCCGAGAATTGCTGGGCAAAGCTCTCGACCGCGTCACCGAAGAGGCAGGTCTGGGACACAGGGGCATTAAGGAACCGAACCTTGTCGGCGTCCCTCATGTCGGCCAGACACAGCCAGAGATGGCGCTCCTGGACCACAAGCGTGGACATCGCACGACCCAGAGAACCCACGGTGACCTTCGGCGCTCGGAGCGCGAGGTCAGTGGCGGTTCGGAACTCTTTCAGAACTTCCAGATTGTGACCACCCTGGTGCAAGTCCTTCAGTGCCTTAGCCTGGTGCACCTGCAGTAACGCCATAGCGTGTAAGGCGGAAGCAGCTTCCCCGCAAGCCGTATAGGCACTGCCGGTTAGACCAGACGAATGCCTACAGTCTTTCAGAACTTCCGGATCATGACCACCCTTGTGCAGGTCCTTCAGTGCCTTAGCCTGGTGCACCTGCAGTAACGCCATAGCGTGTAAGGCGGAGGCAGCTAAGCACCGCCGGTCAGACCAGACGAATGCCTACAGGCCCGGGAAGGAAGTACCGGGTCTCCCCGCCAGGAGGAGGCGGACTTAGGACACAATTGCATCGCTACCGCCCGCTCCACCGGGGGGATCGCCGAATACCCCTTCGCTGCACCGCCGTCGAGGGTGGTGAGGGAGGAGGAACCAGCAGGCCGGTTTCTGGCAGTAAAAGGTGCCGTCCACGACCTGGTAAGCTCCTCATGCACCTCCGGGAAGAAAGGCACCGGGGCACTGAGAACCAGCGCGAGCCACCCGAGAAACCAATCATCCAACCTCGAGGACTCGGGACGCGGTGGAGGATTCCGCTCGAGCCCTACCCTTTCGGCGGCCCGGGAAAGCATAGCAGACATCTCTGGATCTGATTCAGGCATTGCCACCGTCCCGGAGGGCGGCAGCGCAGCCGAATCTTCCTCTCCAGAGAGCGCTCCCTCCGATGCAGTGATTGACATCCGGTCATCGGGAGGAGCCCCAAGGGATACCACTGGTACGCTCTTTAAAGAGGGCCCAGCGCATTCCTTCGGCGGCTCGGCTGGTTGCGAAGCGCTGGAGGAGTGGTGGGCCCCCGAGGGTTGGTTCCCTGAGGGGTTTGCCACCACTGTAACCCTCAGACCGCCCGCGCTACTGCTGGAAGTAGTCCTCGTCTGGCCGCCACCAGAACGAGCACTAGATCGTGGCAGAGGCAACGGAACTCCGCCCCCCTGGAGGTAGCGAAGCCTGTTCCGCAGCTCCAAGATGGTTATCTTCCCGCAATGGGAACATCACTCATCCACGAACGCCACCTCAGCGTGCTTCATGCCCAGACACGTGAGGCAGCGATCGTGACCATCACCCGGCGCCAGGTAACGACCGCACCCAGAAACGCACGGGTGAAACGGCATCTTTAAAATGACGATACATCGTCTTTACAAAGACGCACCCGTGGAGACATTTTTTAGAGAAATTGCTCTTTCAGGGAAATGCTCTTTTAGTGCTGAGGCGCAAAGGGGAAATGGCTGCTTGCAGCACAATAGGGGGTAGTGAAGCCTGAAGTGCGCAACCCACTCGACACAGGAACAACCACCGCTGAAGCGCCATCCGCCAACACCAGAAGCTTCCAAAAGCACGTTGAACTCGTAGCTCACTGAAGACACTTGGATGGAGCAGAACGATGTTGTTGCTCAGCTCCGAAGCGAAAAGCTTGTATGCATTGCACCGGCTGCCTTTTTATCCTCACGCTGTGATCAGCGGCAGCTGGATGCAATAATTGCATGCCAATGTGCATTGGCTCGTTATACATTTTAAAATATTATATAGACTTCATAGAAATAAAACATAGCCTTATCAAACTAAATCAAACTAAAGGGCAAGTTAAATGTTATATAAATGTTATCTACATAATATGTGTAGTATTTTTTATATAAATCTAATATTTAGTTTTAATTTAATATTTAGATAACATTTAGTTTGACTGATATGGACAGCCAGCATTTTTTGCTCCTTTCATAAAACATTTATTTAAAAGAAAAAAGTTGTTTTAAGCTATTTTTTGTACAAACTGCAATTTTTTTGTATTGATGTTGTGATGGTTTGAGTGTCTTTAAGGCTTCTTTCAGTAGTTAATTTTTATACAGTATGTTTAATTAGGTTTTATTATTTCATTCCAGAAATTCTTATATAATGTAAGTACCCCAATAAAAATTAATGGCGAGATGCTAAACAAGTCAAGGTTAATCATGTCAATAAAGATTAAAGTTTATGTAGTGCAGTAGTGCACATGGCGCCCACAGGTCGTAGTGAGGCGAGGTTTGAGTCATCTGAATCCGAATTTCTCTCTCATCATCTTAGAAACTGTTTTATCCATTTTTAAAGGCATCAAGAGGTTATTGTGGTGTTGCTGTGTCTAAGTTGCTACCTTGACTGTCTGTTGATTTCCTAGAGAAGTGGGATCAGTTTGTGACAGATGTACTGAAGTTGGGGTGCTCCTACAGTATGCCTCGAACTCTTCTTCTCCCAGACCCTGCTCTCCCTCCGGCCACTGGAGTCCTCGTGAAGCAGAAGGTAAGACTCAATAATGCTGCTGAATCCTTAGCCTTAAATATTATCCATAAACCCAACAATAGATGCCTTCTTCGTTTGACTGATATGCATTTTGAAATCAGATTTTTTTGAAAGCAGATTGACCAGGGGAGCATTGATAGCCAACTATGGTTGCAAGTAGAGACCTGCACTCCCGCGGGAGTACCGCGGGACCCGCGGGACCCAACGCAACAGGGTGCGGCGCGGGACAACTTTTGATGGGCGAGTGCGGGTGCGGGCGGGAAGAGACTCGTGTGTGTGCGGGATGCGGGAGAATAAAATGATTCGCGGGACTCCCGCAAAATAGAAATTATCTAAATATAAAGTGTTTAAAACATATAAATTGTTATTTATCTGTTGCACTAAAGCAAAAAGAACAACTAATATTAACATTAAAATGATTGACGTGCAAACTAGGCATAGTTTCTATTTATAACACGTGTTTAAAGGGTTGCGCAATGTAGCCAATCACAGACTCAGCTGTTGATTTCTGGAACGCAATGGCCAATCAGAGGTGATTAAGTTAGAATCTACTCACCGCAGTGCTGAAATTGCGTGCTCACGAATCCTCTCATTTTAGACACTGTGAAAGATTCATTGTGCATATATTTATTGTGTTATAACAAAGCTTTATGAGATTGCGATTAACTGAGATGTCAGCTTTTTGTGATAATAAAGGAAGCGTGCTGCTCGCATTCTGCCATGCCAAACCATGCACGCAGCAGCCGCCCATGCTTGCTTTTCTGTTAAAAATAACAGTGGTTTGTTAATGTTGATGCTTAGCCTAAATAACAAATATTTTATCGGGAGTGTTTATGCTGGGATGTTGTGGAGCTTAGGAGATGTTACAGAACCATTTCATGTAAATTTCTTCGATGTACTGAAAAAGTCTATATAGATTACTTTTATGCTGGCTTTTGCGGGCGGGAGCGGGACCAGATAAGATATATTTCTGCGGGAGCGGGCGGGCGCGGGACAGAATCTTGCGGGAGCGGGCGGGAGCGGGACTGAAAAATCCGTCCCGCGCAGGTCTCTAGTTGCAAGTCCCGTTGTTACCAAGATGGCAAGGAACAAAAAAACAGTGAGGAAGTAGTCTTTAGATGTCATGTTTGTTACAGTAGCACCCTAGTAAAAAATGCCATAATTTAAAATGCATTTATTTCATACTAAGTATACTTCAAATTCATTTGCATATTTATTGACGTATCTCTTTTGACTTACTGATATAAAATTAAGTATTTCTTTAATGCACAATGCACATTTCTTAATGTTATGCCTAAAATGTGTTGTAATATCATAATGAATAAGGATTGTATGATCTCTGCATAATATCAGTCTTTAAATGCAAGATATTTAAAGTGTACCTGAAGTATACTTGCAATAGTTCCACGTTAGCACAATCAAATATACTTATACTTAAAATATATCTTTAGTTGCACCTCAGCACTACTTCCGCACAATTAAAGTGCATTAAGCACAAAATTAGTTCCAATTTAGCAGACTTTAAGTATACCAGTTTAGTATCGTCTCGGTTACGTATGGTAACCCTCGTTCCCTGAAGGAGGGAACGGAGACGTCACGTCGTGACCGACGAATTTGGATATAGCTTCGATAGACCAATCTACTTCGAATGTAAACTAAATGAGCCAATGCACATTGGCACGCAATTATTGCATCCAGCTGCCGCTGATCACAGCGTGAGTATAATAAGGCAACAGGAGCAATGCATACCAGGTTTTCGCTGAGGAGCCGAGCCGGCGACCCGGCCGCTCAGCGGTGGTACAGCAACCGTGGCGACGGGACGTGACGTCTCCGTTCCCTCCTTCAGGGAACGAGGGTTACCATACGTAACCGAGACGTTCCCTTTCAGTCGGTCACTACGAGTCACGTCGTGACCGACGAATTGGGATATCGCTTCGATAGACCAATCTACTTCGAGTGTAAACTAAACGAGCCAATGCACATTGGCATGCAATTATTGCATCCAGCTGCCGCTGATCACAGCGTGAGTATAATAAGGCAGCAGGTGCAATGGGATTCGACGAAGGAGTGTCCGGAGGGCTTACGGCAACCACATGTGACGACCGGGAGTAAAACAACTGGCAGTGAGAGGTTTCTGGAGAAGCAAACAGGTCTACCTGAGCGGCTCCGAAACGTCTCCAAATCAGCTGGACCGTCTGGGGATGGAGTCGCCATTCTCCCAGGAGCATTACTCGAGACAGCTCGTCGGCTGTACGGTTGAGCACGCCCGGAATGTGAACAGCACGAAGTGACATCAGAACCTTCCGACTCCAAAGGAGGAGGTGGCGGGCGAGTTGCGACATGCGACGGGAGCGCAGACCACCCTGTCGGTTGATGTACGCAACGGTCGCTGTGTTGTCCGCTCGGACCAGTACGTGCTTGCCTCGTAAGCGCTCTTTGAGACGGTTCAAGGCAAGACACACTGCTAACAACTCTAGGCAATTGATATGCCAGTGCAGTTGGGGGCCC